CATGAGTGAGTGAGTGAACAAGTGAGCGAGCATAAACAGGTGGGTAAGACTGCCAATATTAAAACAGGACTTAACAGTGTGTCACATAAATGACCAGAGTCACACTCATAAATGAGGCTGACATTAAGGGCTGGACAACAGATAAACTGAAACTGTGGTAAAAACCCATCTGAAATGTACATTGTCCAAATGTCACATCAGCTATCTCACATTTGAAAAAGCTTTTGTGAAACGTAGAACCTATATAAAAAGGTCTACAAAACTTTTGGAGATACCATTCTGTGCAGATGTCCCCCTTCAGATGATTTCATAGATTTCATCTGAGTTTTCAAATATCCCATAATATTTTCCCCTTTCCCCAGACACAAACACACATGCATACACATGTACACCTGTGTGCAGGCACACAAACACAAATTAATAACTACCGACTTAGGCAAATCCCTTAACAGAAAGAGACTTGGCAACTGTAAGAGAAAGTTTATCTAATTAACCAAGGCTGTAGGACACAAACACAAAAATGTAGTGAGTGCTCCAATCCAGAGAAAGGGGCTCTGAATTCAAGACTCCGTTTGGCTACAAAATTGCTAGTGAACCATGGATCAATCAAAGATCACGAATATTAGGGGTAGGGGAGCCTTGGACATCTGTCCCTCCCTTCTTCTCTTCTTCCCATTTCAAAGATGAAGACACTGAGGTTCAAGCAAAGACCATGCTTTTACTAAAGGCAACGCAAATTATTGAGAGCCAGGATTTGAACCTCAGACTCCACTACTTGGCTTCCACATTCTCTATCATAGCACCCAAGAGGAATTTTTCTGTTCAGTGGCCTCTATTTCATCTCCTAAGTAAGGGTAGTCACCACTCTCTTCTAAACTGAAAATCTCATGAAGACATGAGTTTGGCTTTCACATAGGTGAATCCAGCTGTTTCTCAGTCCCAGCTGAGTCCCACAAGAACAAGACAGAGAGAAGGTCTGAAAGAGTTAGCTATGCTGCTATTAATCTTGTGTAGCAATTGGGAATTACAGGCTTTGAACTAGATTTGCTGCATTGGCTATTACTCTCCTGTCCTTTTGCTTATTATTCCTTCATCCGTCTTCTTTTTATTAATGTTCCTAACTATGCACAGTAAACAGTCAGCTGGGAGTTCATCCTTAGCTTCCTATAATTCACTGGATCAGAAAAGGGCAGGAGGCAGGTGGAGGAAACCAGTGATGTCAGGGTCAAATAATCTCTTACAAGAAAACTGATAGGGTCTCCATGGTCTCCTAGCAAATGGGGGTGGGGGCAGAAAGGGGTTCTAATCCTCCATTCCACTGTAACATAGGAAATACTGAAGACTACTGGAGTTGAGGGCATGTCATATCCTTGCATTGACAGTGAAGCTGTTTTAGCCTGAAATATGATGGTTCTTTAGATATTGAGAAAAGAAAGTCCAGTTTATAGGAAGAGTTCTTCCCTGTAAAACACAGAAATACATCTATAGAGTTAGTAAGACAATTCCAGGCTAGGATTTGTCACTAATATGCACACAAATCAGAGTCCGCCCTGACCCCAAAATCTCCATCTCTAGCATAGTCTGATTCTTAAAGTCCTCTCTGGCTTTGACATTCTGACTTCTCAGTATAGGTCAATGACTCATGCTGGAAAAGTCAAACAACAGAAGAGAAACCTATTGATGTTACCTATGGATAAATTTATCAGATTTTCTAAAAATGAGACCCAGGATATGAAGAACATGGGAAAAGACAGAACTTTACCCCTTTCTAACTAGCAATAATGTCTTTTGAGTTAAGGGAGCACCAGTGCTAAATGCCCAACTCTAGTGCATGTAACATCCAAATCAATAATTGCTTTTCTGGTGTAAAAGCATCAGGCGACAAAAAGAAGAATTACCATTTCCATACACTGGCTCTGTAGGAGTCATAGGACTTTGCTATCTATGACTCTTGAAAAGCGGAAGCAGGAGGGGAAAAAGATACCTTAAGAAAATAAAATTATACACAATTGAGCAAGTGCCATGATCAACTACTCCAAATCTGTCTGTTGTTAGATGCCAAAATGGATCCTGGAGAAGGAAAGTGACATGCCCAAGTTGATACAATAAGAGATGGGATACTAATTAGATTGTCATGTCATCTGTTTCATATAAAATAACACATAACATATGATTTCATCCCCACAAACAATGAGACTCTATTTGGGTAACTAACAAAGTAATTTCATTTATAACCACAACTTCTACCTCCACATAAAGAGGAAAAAAAAAAAAAACACTAACTGAATAATTTGATTTAAGGTAAATTAAGGCTGTTTCCATTGAATTGTAATAAACAATTCACTCTAGAAATATAGACAAGTCCAAGAGAATTAACTAGGTACTATTCATCCTTGCTAATGAATCACCCTATGGATAACAGAGATAATCAACCATCTACAGGAGGCCAGAAGTCTGTTCTTGTTCAAGTACAGATCCTGTCTATTAAAGAACATTGGGTATCAGCTCTAAATAGTAAACAGGGTATACTATTTCAGATTCCATGAAGTGCAGCTTTAAATAGATTTGGTTTGGAAATGGGACAAGGAACACACCACAGTCAGTGGATCAATGTTGAAAGCAGAGAAAAACAATGATTACACTCATTAAGTGGGTACCTGTTGACACATCTACTGTCAAGTCTAATTATTTATTTAAACTGTTATTCTTTCTTCATTACTGCCACTAATACCAATTATTGCCACAAGATTATTTTAAATTTCTAATACATGCCCCCAGAATATTCATTTCACTACCTTCTAAAGGTTATTTGAGAAGCTTTCGTCTTTCCTCCTGAACAGTTTCCACTTCCAACTATATAGGATGGATAGACAGACATATGAAACTCCTCTTTTTATATTTATAATAGTTTATATATAATATAATATATAATAT